TGGCGCTTCTAGCTTTAAGGGAACTTCCGTGGGGTTGTGTCCCACAGAAGACACACCCAGGATTGTAACTTTGCTGCTTGCCAGGAATGGGATGAACCAGAAACGGAGTCTTTCCTGTGGCCAGGATGAGGGCCACAGGGATCCTGGAGGGGGTCCAGCACTTCTGGGTGGAGAAGACCAGCTCTGAGACCCCTAAAATTTGGGAAGGGAGGGAAGAGTATGACTTTGGGACCTGCTCAGAGGGAAGGTTAAGAGTCCCGATTCTCCCCCGCAGGTCTTCCAAAGGAGGTCGGATGGCTCGGTCGACTTTTTCCGCAATTGGGCTGCCTACAAGAGGGGATTTGGAAACCAGCTGACTGAATTCTGGTTGGCACACTGCCCAGTCACCAAAACTCACAGCCCTGCAGGGTATGTTTTTCTGCTGCCTCCTCCATCCCCAGAGGGCCCATTTAAGGCTCTTCCCACCGAGGGCCCTGAACCCCTCTCCCGAGGGCTGCAAGGGGAAGCCCCTCACCCAGTGAGCTCAAGTGGTGAATGTTGTCATTCCCCAACCAGAATTCAGTCAGCTGGTTTCCAAATCCCCTCTTGTAGGCAGCCCAATTGCGGAAAAAGTCGACCGAGCCATCCGACCTCCTTTGGAAGACCTGCGGGGGAGAATCGGGACCCTTAACCTTCCCTCTGGGCAGGTCCCAAAGTCATACTCTTCCCTCCCTTCCCAAATTGTAGGGGTCTCAGGGCTGGCCTTCTCCACCCAGAAGTGCTGGACCCCCTCCAGGATCCCTGTGGCCCTCATCCTGGCCACAGGAAAGACTCCGTTTCTGGTTCATCCCATTCCTGGCAAGCAGCAAAGTTACAATCCTGGGTGTGTCTTCTGTGGGACACAACCCCACGGAAGTTCCCTTAAAGCTAGAAGCGCCACACGGCAGGAAAGAGCTGCCCTCTGCTGGACTCACAATCCATCCGCCTCCATCAGTGTCCATGTCGCACAGCACCTGCAGGGGCTGGCAGTCCTGGGGGTAGATGGTGTACCAGCCGCTCAGAATCGTCCCTCTTTTCAAGAGCTCTTTGCAGTTTGGGGCACCTGGGCAAAAAGAGGGCAGGAGAGGTTGTCGCTCTCTGTTCCAGGGTCTTTGCCAAAATGCCCTCACTTTTCTTAGTGCTGAGGGACTGGCTCGGTAGCTGCAGCCAGTTGGCAACAGGCATCCAGCTGGTTAGCAGACCAAGCGGTTGCAGTGTGGGGTTGCAAGTTGGGGGTGGGGGCTACTCTTAACATGGTGGGTGGGCTGGATCTCCCCATTGAAAGGTTTTTGGAGGAGCAATTTTTCTTCTAAAGATGAAACATTTTAGGGCAATTTTCCCTCTTGAACCAAAGATTGCCAGTGGACAGAAGTGGATTCTGCAAATGCTGGAACTATCTGGACAAAACATCAGCTCTCCAGGGAATGGGGGGGGGGGCTAGGAAAGGAATGGGTAGTAAGGAACCCCCCCCCACACACACAGTCATTCACCTCGCTTGCATTGAAGAGCCTCCAGCTTCTTCTCATCTGCAAAAAAAAGATTGAAGTGAAGAAAAGCCAATTCCTGCCTCCTTCCACACGCCCACGTGGCAAGAAAAGCCACGGAGGGAGAGATACCACGATGCTGACCTGAATTGGGAGGGGGACAGAGACTCGGCTACGTCTGATGTGCCCCGGGCTGCCTACCTGTCAGAAGTCCCTTTCAGCCTAACTTCATNAAGTTGCCTTCAGAAGTTGTGGGAGCTTCATCCCTGGAAGCTTTCAAGAAAATGGACTGCCATCTGTCATAAATGGTATAGGGTCTCCTGCTTGGACAGGGGGTTGGACTAGATGACCTACAAGGATCCCTTCCAACTCTGTTATTCTGTATTGCATTCTAGAAAATTATTCCATCCAACTTCTTGGTAGACATTCCCAAGGCTCCAGTTTAATTAAAACCATGACTCATTTTTCCACAATTAAGTGCTCATCTTGTGCAAACGTCAAAGCCCATCACAACACCTCAACCAGAAAAAGGCATCACAGATTTCGACAGCAAAGCAATAAAAGGGATTTTACTCAGAACTGGGGAAATGTTTGAAAATGCTTTGCAACTTCTATGGCAAAACACGACAGGTTGGATTTCTGATCCACCCTCCTAACCAGAAGGAATCTAGTCCCGCTTGTCTTAAGTGGAGACACTAAGAGCCCAGATTAGTTTGGGGAGACAAGGGAGCTCCTATAAAAGTTTCTCTCTGTGTTTGGCCATAAAAAATACACAGTAATGCAGTTAACACTCTCTGTTGCTTTCAAATCATATTTTTTTTATTTGAGTCTATGGGGCACAGCTAGGCAGTGCCCCTCAATAGTGTCTTAGCTATGCTGTCCAATTTACAATAATCCAAGAGTAGCTATCTTAATCCCAATCTCGAACCTCTTTATTTAGTTTGGATTTATTGCCACATTTGTGGGCCACCTTTTACCAAAGAGCTCAAGCCAACACACACAGACAGGGCTTGGCTCTTCAGAGAATTTTGGGGTGTGTGTGTACATGTGCGCAGGGGAGGGGCTTGAGGCAGGGTCTCCCCAAAGCCAATTAATCCCTTCACCACTGCATCTAATTAGAACTGCAGAAAAAACAATGGCTATCAACCTGCCTTCCATTGAGGACCTGAACACTGCATGAGTCAAAAAGAAGGTTGGGAAAATATCTCCAGACCCCTCGCATCCTGGACATAAATGGTTTCAACTTCTACCCTCAAAACGACGCTAGAGCACTGCACACCAGAACAACTGGACACAAGGACAATCCCCCCCCCCCAATGCTATCACTCTGCTAAACAAATAATTCCCTCAACAGTGTCAAACTATTCACTAAGTCTGCACTATTACTATTTATTAATCTTCTTGTCATCCCTATAACCCATCTCCTCCCACTTACGATTGTAACTTTGTTGCTTGTATCCTTATGATTTATATTGATTGTTTCCTAGTATGGTTTGGTTGCTTATTTGTACCCTATGGCTATCTTTAAATGTTGTACCTTATGAGTCTTGACGAATGCATTTTTTTAATGTACATTGAGAGCTTATGCACCAAAGACAAATTCCTTGTGTGTCCAATCACACTTGGCCAATAAAGAATTCAATTCTGTTCTGTTCTCTTCTACTCTATTCTTTTCCATTCCATTCTATTCCATTCCTGTCCCTAATTCTGTTCTAATTCTAATTCTATTCCTATTCTATTCTATATTCCAACATCTATCCCTAATTCTAACTCGAATTAATCCTAATCCCAATCCCATTCCATTCCTCTCCTACCCTACCCCTTGTTCTATCCTATCCTATCCTAATTCTATTCCTATTCTATTTTATTTCTATTCTATTCTTATTCTCTCACTAAAGGGGCCCGATTTCCTTTACAAACTTTTGAAGGAGATTCTGCTACTTCTGTGTACTAACTCTAACTCAGCAGCTCCAATTCACAGAACGCCCATGAGCCATGTTGGCTGGAAACGATGGGAGTTTATAATCCAACACCTCCTGGCTGGAGAAGATGGGTTGTTGATGGCTTAACCAGAAAAGTTTTCTACAATGTTTCACAATTAGCCGCAGGGGAAGCTCTTGTTTTCAAACCGTAAAGAATTATTTGTTATGAAAGGTTGAAAGTGTTTCATTCAGACACAACAAGGTTGTTTCTCAACCTTGACAAGTTCGAATGGTTCAACTCTGGGAAATGGGAGGATTGCAGACTTTTTAAAGTGAGTAAGGTGGAGAAACATCGAGTTCAAGTCCTGTTTAACACTGGGGTCTGCCTGCTCTTCCCCCACTCCAATTCCTTCCCCTTGGGAGCCCAATCCTGCCCTTGCGGTTCAGCTTCAGTGTCCGGAGAAGAAACCCTGGTTAACTTCCTGCTTCACAGACATGGTAAACCCAGGTGTGTAAAGCTCACTCTGCTCTCCTCCCCTTTTCTGGACAATGGGATTGGTGGCCTCCTGGGGGTGGGCCTTGTATCTTAGGAAGCGCCAGGGACAATGCCTGCCACTGGCTACTCACCAGATACTATTAGCAGCCCAGAAGAGGCAAGCAGGGAGGGCTGCACAGGGAGAGTGCGGGGGTGGGGGTGAGGTGTTGCATCTCTCTTACTTGGCTTGTTTCAAGCAGCGAAACGAGGGCGGGGCAAAGAGTCCCAGGATGGGAGACCACCAGGCGATCCCACCCAGCGGAGTGAAACGCTGCCTTGCTGGAGAGAGAAATCCTGGCAAGGACATCAGGGTCCCGGCAGCAGCGAAGCAAGGGGGGGGGCACTCAAAAAAATCCCTGGACGGGAGACCACCAGGCGATCCCACCCAGCGGAGTGAAACGCTGCCTTGCTGGAGAGAGAAATCCTGGCAAGGACATCAGGGTCCCGGCAGCAGCGAAGCAAGGGGGGGGGCACTCAAAAAAATCCCTGGACGGGAGACCACCAGGCGATCCCACCCAGCGGAGCAAGCTGAAGAAGAGCCCCTTCACGGCGTGGAAGTGCGCCACCCTTCTGGAGGGAGCGAGCCCAACCAGGGTTTTGGGGTCCCGGCAGCAGCTAAGCGGGGGGGGGGGTGGCGTAAGAATCCCGGGACGGGAGACCAAGAGGAGACCCCACCCAGCGCGGCCGCCCTTCTGGAGAGAGCGAGGCCGGCCAGGGCTTGGGGGTCCCGGCAAGGGCCGGACTGGGGCCACGTGGGCGAGGGGCACCACGTGGGCGGGGGCGGGCAGCCAAGGGCCCGGGACTCACGTCATGTTGCGGACGGTGCGGCCGCCGTTCCAGAGGAGGCAGACGAGGCTGGTGAGGGCCGAGGCGACCACGCAGAGAACGCAATAGCTGGCGATCTTGGCGCGGAAGCGGAGCGGCGGACTCAGCGCCCCCAGCAGCAGCAGCGTCAGCAGCAGCAACAGCGCGCCGGCCCCCATCCCGCCGCCTTCAGAGCTCCGGAGCCCCGCGGCGGTGGTCGAGAGTCGGAGAAGCGCCTGTATCTGCCTGCCCCGCCGCCCTCGCCAGCTCTTAAGGGGCGGCCGCCTCCCGCACACGCCCTCCGCCCTCCCGGCCCTCCGCCCAGGGGCGGCTCCGCGCGGCCGCCTCGGGCCGCCCCTTCGCTGCTCCGCCCGCTCTCCTTCAGTCAGAATAGCAGAATGACCGAGTTGGAAGGTATCTTTGGAGGTCGTCTAGTCCAACCCTCTGCCCAAGCAGGAGACCCTACACCATTTCTGTCCGATGTCAGTCCAGTCTCTTCTTGGAAGCTTCCAGGGATGAAGCTCCCACAACTTCTGAAGGCAACTTCTGTTGATAGCTCTCGTTGCTCCCCTTTGGCTCCCTTTGGGGGTCTGTGGGGGGTGCTGGCAGTGTCATAATAGCACCAGCGCTGAACACTTATATACTGCTTCACGGTGCTTTGCAGCCCCTGTTCTGCAAGTTGCATCAGTTGCCCCTCTGCTTCTCGGTGTAATTCAAGATGCCATTGATGACCCATAAGTAGCTATAGCCCTTAGACTTATATACCGTTTTGGAGTGCTTTGCAGTCCTCTCTAAGCGGTTTAGAGAGTCAGCCTGTTGCCCCCAACAATCTGGGTCCTCCTTTTGCTGACCTTAGAAGGATGGAAGGCTGAGTCAACCTTGAGCCGGACAGGATTGAACTGCTGGCAGTGGGCAGTGAGTTAGCCTGCAGTCCTGCATTCTAATCATTGGGATGGATGGATGGATGGATGGATGGATGGATGGATGGAAGGAAGGAAGGAAGGAAGGAAGGAAGGAAGGAAGGAAGGAACAGTAGCCCTTAGACATATACTGCTTCACAGTGCTTCACAGCCCTCTCTCAGTCTGTTGCCCCCAACAATCTGGATCCTCGTTTTGCTGACCTCAGAAAGATGGAAGGCTGAGTCAGACAGGATTGAACTGCTGGCAGTGGGCAGTGAGTTAGCCTGCAGTCCTGCATTCTAATCATTGGGATGGATGGATGGATGGATGGATGGATGGATGGATGGAAGGAAGGAAGGAAGGAAGGAAGGAAGGAAGG